CTCGTGTTGAACACGTACACTTCCTACATTCCTCCCTCTTCCAACCGAATGTGTGTGTTCTTTGGAAGCTCAGGTCTCTCTTACTATTTCACTGTGCTGTTGGTTGGTTTATTCCTGCAACTCCAAATTTTTTTTTTTACATCATCAGAAGGCTTTTAGCAAACCACACATTTAAATGGTAAAAAGGAGAGAAAAAGGGGTAGGTCCCCCTGGGGCTGAGTTACTGCCTCAGAGTCCATAGGGAGTCACTATTTTCCTTCCTCGGGGCACTACTTTGCTTCTGATGGCTGCCTACATAAGGTTTTAAGGGATCCTTGTATCCCCTCCTTTAAGTAACTTTTTAGGGGGTACAATAGAAAAATGAGTTTGGTGTTTCTGAGAAGGGGGAGGTGGTTCCTTCAGTATGTGAAACCAGAAAGATGGTAAGAAAAATATGTGAAGGCAAGTGGTAAATTGTCAACCAGACTATAAAGCAGATAAAGCAAGTAATCCTGCATCCTGTGGGAGAGTTCAGGGACTTAATGTTGTCAGTCAGACCTGGAATCAAGTTAGTTTGGTAACATTTCTACAGAAACTGCAAAACAGACAGATACTCTAGAAGAAAACTAGAAAGATGCTGTTACATCCATGAGGTTTCTTCCACTTGCAGTGTGTTGTCTGGATTATAGAGAGTCAAAACTTTTACAGGAAAGGGCAGGTGGAGGCAATCTGCACTTTACATTCAGATAATAGTATTTCTGCACTGAGTTGTGGACTTAGCTGTGCTAAGAATTCCTAAAATGATTGATTTTGCTTAAATTTACACAATCTCTAGAGCTTCAAATTGTTGTCTTGTGCAAGAGTAGCTTGTGCAGAGTGTCAGGAGCCTTCTGTGATCTGTTTGGTTAGAGAATGGTGCTGATAACACTGAGGCTGTGGGTTTGATCCCCACACGAGCCATTCACTTAAGACTCGATGATCCTTGTGTGTCCCTTCCAACTAAGAATATTCTGTGAAGCCTGTGAAATCCAGCTTTGTTTGAGTTATCCTGTAGCAGTCTAGTGAGTTTCAGTAAATGCAATATTGAAGCCAAACAACAGAGAGAGATATTGAGCAGACCAGAGGTTAGATTTTGGTTTTTCTGGCACTCTGATGCACCTGCCACAGCTGGGTTAGCCATCTGTGTGTGCTTCAGTTATTTTGAAATATGTGAAAGGAAAGGTTTTTATAAATGGTCAGTTAAGAATGTAATGGGCAGATGTTTTCCAAATACTTCGTTTTCATTCAGAACGAGAAGGTAAAATGGGCTGGGAGAAGAATTGGAGTCTAGAGAAAGAGTCCCACAATATATGTGCATATTTCTGCAATTTTTTCATCTTGAGTTATCACAGTACTTCAGTGTTATTCTTCACAGTGGCAGATAAGACATTTGGGTTGCTTCCAGGTTATGTCCTTGCAAGTCATGTCATGGCTTAGAGCCCTGAGCTATATCTCTTTAAAATAAATGAACCTCTCAGTTCTAAATAGGCTTGGTCTCAATATGGTCTCCAACAAGATAGAATAATCACTGTAGAACTGAGAATGCTCCCAGGGAATTGTGTGTTGCCTGCAGAAGTCCCCAAGAGGTTCTTCGTGCAGACTGTAGGAAGGCAGCTTGTGTAATTCCTGCACTGTTTATTCCAGTGCCTAAGCTCCTTGTAACTTCGCAGAGAGGAGGGAGAACAGAACCTTCTAGTCAGAGTACAGAAATAATACTGTCGTGTGTGTTTCAGGAGGATCCTGTAGGCTCAAAAATAACAAAAATTTTTTAATTAGTAAGAGTGAATGCAAAACAGATCTTATTTAACTAAAAGCACTTGTGACTGTGTAAAAGTGGCATGAAGGTTGAGGGGAAAAAACGTTCCTAAGCGCAGCAGCTGCTCTCACTGGCACTATCTGAGCCTGTGAGCTCCAGCTGGGAATGATCAGCAGCCGCATGCAGTGGCAGGACTTGCATAGCCCTTGCAGCTGCAGAACCCCACCATTGCCTCTGTCTTTACTGTTTGATTGCAGCTACATTATAATATTTACCATACATGAGTCAGATGCCTGCAGGGTTATCTGGAAAAGATGAGATAAAACTGTAGAATACAATATGCTGGTGGATAGGAATTACTGCAGGCTCTTGGGAAGGTTGCATGCAGTGTCCCTTTTCTTCATTAGGAGATCCCCACATCTCAATCAGTACCACAGTGCCATCCACCCTACTTGGTCCAGTTTCTTCTTGTAGGAGGGTGCAGAATGTGTTTATCAGTACCTGTCTAGGAATCTGACAAGTGTGTAATGTCACCACAGACCCCTTATCTTTAGCAGAGAGAAGTAACCCACTGAGCTGACAGTGCAGCAGCCAACATGGCAAGAATCATAGGTATTCTGGGCATTCAGGTAGTAGTTTATCCTGCCTTAGTCATCTTAGACTCAAAAAAATTGAAGACTGAATGCTGAAAAATAGGTAACTAGATTACAAGAATTAAAGTGCTAGTGGCTTCTGAAAGCAGGCTGTGTGGCAGCTTCTTTAAGTACAGGTTGTACTTCTGTGTCTGTGCCACATTTAGTACCCTTTCTACCAGAAATATAAATTGATTGTGTGAAGATCAGTAATCTTAAGCATGTTATGCTCCAGATAACAAAGACTAGGCTTCTAGTAGGATCGTGGCCAACCCTCTGAGCACATTTTAAAATATCATTGTCTTTGCCTATCTGAGTGCCATGAAGAGTTAGAAAGTATAACAGGTTAGTTAAACTTAAGATATTGCCCAGTGTAGCAGCATTGTTGTTTAAAAGTTTTGTACAGATTGTACAGTCATATACACATGGAAAACTTTATTGAGAAGCTTATCAATATGGAAATATTGTTAAAACTGACCTTCTAAAATTTGTTCAATTGTGAGTTTCTTGCAAAATTACTTCTAACTCCTACCAAATAACAGGCTTCTGTGACTCTTCCCCCCATCCTGCAGCAGCTTCTTTGAATTCTGTAAGTAATGTAAAAATGCCATTTACAAATGAGAGATTTATTCCATCCAGGCTGTCGGCATTCTTTCCAAAGCACTGAAGTCTTTCAGTGTCTTGCATTAGATCAGAACTTCTTTCTGGCTTTTATAGGTCAAAGTCACATAAAATTTGTTTTAGGTTTCCAGGACTTCAGACTCTAAGGAGTGGAAAGGCCAGGAATCTGCCTTCCTTTGCTGTGCTCAGATAGGAATAAGAACAGATGAAATGGAGGTATTCATTTGCCTTCCAGAAATTTGTACAAATTATTTAGGGAATCTAACCAGACGTTTAGCTCTCAGTGAACTTCTCACTGAGTTCAAGATGAAAGCTTTCTCTGGTTGGGTTCTTTTTCATACAACATGGTGAAATTCGCCTTTTTTTGAAGCAAGAATGTGACTTGAGGATTATTTACGAAACAGTTTTTAAAGAGATTCCAGAAAGTCAAAATATGTTTTGTTTTAAACCTCACTTCAAGGTAGGTCTGGTTTAGAAAATTGATCTCAGGCAATTCTTTACCTTCTGTGGAAAAGGAGAAGAATGAAATGCCCCTTACACAGAGGGGCAGTGTTTCTCTGTGCAGAGTAGTACCCGCAAAGCATATGTTGTGTCATTTGGGGTTGGTCACCTGCTTGTTGCAGTTGCCCAAACGAGACAACTGTTTTGAATCTAACTTTTTTTTTTTTACCAGGCTGATTTATTCCCCCTGCCAAAGCTTTTCACTCAGATTTTTAGCTCGTTAGCACTCTACAGCTCATGGGCCACAAAAATAACCCCACTCTGGAAACAATGGATGAATATCATATTTCAAGAGAGGAAAGTAAACAGCCGGCAGTCTGGCCCTCAAAACAGGCAGTGTTTTATCAGAATGAAATAAATCTCTCTCCCGCTTCCTGGCCATCACAGTGGCTGTTTGTAGGAGGAAGAAGCTCAGCTCAAAGCCAGGTGGTTGTGTTGTCTAGACCACAGGCTCCCTAACCTTGTACTAACAGCTGCCAAAGATAAAAAGTCATCTTTGTTTCTGACCTCAGAACAAACCGAGTTGGTATAGATCAAACCTTGAATTAAATCTCCGCAAAGCTTGTCATAGGCATTGAGATGCAATAAAAAAGTTTACTGATTGTTACATCCATCAGGTATTTTCCCTACCTTTGTGAGGCTTTGAAAGGAATGAGAGCATGCTTTGGTACCAAGAAATCTTAAAAAGACAGCAAGGATTAAGGTTCATAGAAATTTTAATCAATGGTAGAGTCTTCTTTAGGACTTGTAAATTAAAATGCTGGCTTTGTGCTACAAAGGCATAATAAATATGTCTGTATAACAAACATTTCAAATAATGTTATCAATGGTTTGAAATGCTAGCAGACTATTTTCAGGTAACAATTTCCACTTAGAGCCTTCTTTGAAGTGCAATCTAAAATCATTTGTGTAAAGGTGGAAAAAACCTGCATTCCAGGGAAGTTATGCTGACGTAGTAGCAAAGTCATCAGGGTAACCCTTTGATAGTCTTATTTGCATAATTTGGTTATAATCCCATTGGTGTTCCATTCCCACATAGACCCTCCAATCTTTATAGTTTAAAGATGTTTTTAAAGAAGTTTTCCTTTTGAAATAGCAGCATCTCACCTTGAGAGATGTGTTTTTGCATCACACTTATTTGCTCAACTGTAATGGAGACAGAAGTAATTAGATTCCATTTCAAGTATCTTCTTGTTCCCTTTTCATTGGAACAGATAATGGAGCTGGATCCTGGAGGGTTTGGATGTTTGGATTTTCATGTTCCCCTTCCCACAGTCAACTCCCTTTTACATGTTGAGTAGTAAGATGTATTTTGTTTCAACCTGATTATTCAGAGTGTAAACACAGCAGTAGATTGTATCTCCTGTATCAGGAAAGGAAGGGAGTAAGATTTCTTGTTATGAAGCTTCATTTGATTCTACACTGAGATTTTTAAATTGAAAACTAATTTTGTATTTTTCACTTTTTTTAAGGTGCTGGAAACCCAAATTGCAAAGTTGCAATTGTAATGGGCAAAACCAAAAACTCCTCAGCATCCAGGTAAGGATTCCTAAGAGATTCAAGGAGTTACCTGAAACTTGTTCCCTGGAGGAGTCACTGCTTGAGAAAACTTTATTGAATGAAATGCCATTAATTGCCTTGATCAGTTGGATGTGCTCATGAATTAGACGGGAGTTTAAACCTCTGCATGTGTTTGTTGCTGCTCAAGCTCCTGTTTTGCCATCAGCTGCTGATGACTGAAGCCTCCCAACCTTTCCACTGTTATCTTGCATTGGTGTGCTTTTCACTCCCATCCATTGCACCAGCTCCAGTGCTTGTGCAGCTGTGTGATGAATTGGATCAGGAAATTTTTTTTGGGTTCAACTAACTTTATCTTGGTCACATAACTTCTAGTCTGCATCAGTTGTTTAACAGCTATCTCTGGCTTACAATTTATTTTGTAAGTATAGTATATAAAGCAGTTAATATAAGGTAGAATTGCTTGTTTAAATAATAAATCCAAAACTTTTCAGAGCTTCCCTGAACAGAATGGTTAAAGTGGCACACCATAGACCTGAATTTATCTACTCGGTTTTTCACAAAGTAATCTGTAGGTATAGAAAGTTAAGTTTGTACCATGAGATGTTGGTTATGTGAAGTTGTGTAAGCAGAGAGCATTGCAGATCTCTAATCAGACTTACTCATTCCACTCCTGTATGTGTAAACATAATACTTACCTCTTCTTCTTTAAAATAAACATGTTGTTCAACTTCTTACCAAACTAGAATTGCCTTTTGCAAAAACTTACATAAGTGATGAATGAAATGCTTCATGTTTGGTTCTATTAAAATAACATGGCGTTTAATGCAAAAGAATTGGAACATTTATATCTCTAAGTTGGATTTTAGCCCAAATCCCATGGATTGTCTGAAGTTTGTGGTTTTGGCTAGGTTCCATTGAGAAGCAAACAGTAAGTTGCCTACAGCACACAGGATGGTTTGCCTGGCGGCTGTACGGATGGTGGCATCTGTTGAGCTCTTGGAAGCTGAAGAGAAGTTCTTGGAGGGGATAACGTGACACTCCACTTGCTAGAACTGGAGGCCGAATTCAGGGACCTGGGACATCCCCTCCAGTTCTGTGTGACTAATAACTGACCTTAAATATTCGTAAGGAATGTAAACGTGGGGATTTTTTCCCCTAAACTATAGGCAAGCCAAGATGATGATTCTGATAAAGTTGTTTCGAGGACAAAACAGAAAGGCAGGGCTAGGAAAACTGACTGGGTGATACAGAAGTACATGCACAGAAGGTACAGCAGTAGGAGTTTGGTGCATTATGTGCCAGTAATACATTTTCACTTGTTGATTGGTGGTTCAAGGAGTGTTGAAGCCACACTGTGTGTGGGCAGGATGGTGCAGGTAAATCTCAGCACTGGCTTTATGCGAGTGCTAAACTGAGGATAGAAGATAAAAAAAGCAGAGGAAGGGGACAGAAGGCAGACTCAGAGTTAAGTTTAACAGGTGCATTTTGTCTTGATCAGGTACAAGCAGCACAGTATGATTCTTGTTCCCATGGACACTCCAGGGCTGAAGCTGATAAGACCCCTCTCAGTGTTTGGCTATCTGGGTAGGTGATCATATTTATCAGATATATGTGTATTAATTTGTTAGCAGTCTCAGAAGCTGCTGTAATGTTAATAAATACTGTATATGAAATAAATCAGCATATATAAAAAAGGGTTAGGAATTGAAGGCTATGTTTTTATCCTCCTTTGTTTTACTCTGCTGTTGTGTTTTCTGTCCCTGTAGATGAGATCCATGGAGGACATTTTGAGATACACTTCAACGATGTGCGAGTGCCTGTCTCCAACATAATCCTGGGTGAGTTTCAGCACTAATTCATTTCTAATACATATAGCAATGAACCAAGCTTTATGAAACAGTGGTTTATTTAATGAATCATCAGAAGTGATTGTAAACAGCTGTGGTCAGCTGAGCCAGAGTCTCAAACATGTAAGAGGGAGACCAGTCTTCCTTTAGCAGCCTACCTGCTGCTTGAACGTACCTTGTTTAGAGCAGGAGGAAGCAGGGCAACTGTGGCCGTCATGCAAATATCACTGCCCTGAAGTAGAGCAAAGCAAAATCTGTCAGTGGCATTCTTTCCCCAAAACCAGTTCTCATAGACTTCACAGACTTTTTGAAAGAATGGCCTGCTGTACTCTATGGCCAGTTCTTAGCAGTAGTGAAAAAAAGAAAGAATAAGCAGCACTGTGACCCTTTGCAGGGAGAACTCTGTTCTACTTCTGTTACTTAATATAAATCCTGATTTCTTCTATTTCCTCTCTGCTTTTTTTATTTTGCTCAAAGAGCTTTCTCTCTTGAGTAGCCCTTGGACCTGGAAACCTCAAAGTCTCCCCTCAGATACTCATTCCAAATCTTATAGATGTATTTTTTCATGGAAGATTAACAAAATTTAATTTCTATCAGGTAAATCAAACTTTCTCAAAAACCATCTTGGAGTGTGCTTTGTGATGTAAGTATTATTAATAGTGTGTCGATATAGATCTGGTTGGAGTAAACAAGCAACAGTTCTGCAAAATAAACTTTTAAGCAGCTCGCCTTTACCACTGGTGCTATGAGCACACTTCTGCTTGGAGCCATGGATCATTTCAAAGAGAGTCATGGAGTCTTCATGTGCCTGTTTTTCTTTCCAACCAGGTGAGGGCAGGGGGTTTGAGATAGCTCAAGGTCGGCTCGGGCCAGGCCGGATTCACCACTGCATGAGGTCCCTCGGTGCGGCTGAAGCTGCTTTAGAGATAATGTGCCAGCGCTCTGCACAGAGGGAGACTTTCGGGAAGAAGCTGTATCAGCATGTAAGCACGTTCCCTGTCTCAATTCACATGCTCCAGACAGTGACCTTTGTTTTGCCCACACACAACCTTGTGATTCTGATAAGGGACACAGAAGTAGATGTGCCCTAACCTTGAATTCCTACTCATAAGGCTTCGGATGGCAAAAGAAAAAAATCACATTGCAAGGCTGCCATTTTTCACTATAACCTATGGGATCTTTTTTTTCTTTGCAATGAATTGGATATCCTTTCCTGGATTTGAATACAGATTTTGTCACTGCGTGTTTTACTCTGCTTTCACTGATCTATTTGGACAGGTATTTTTTCAGGTATACAGCTTATGTTTCTATAGTTACAGTATAAATTCACCATTTTTATGTATACAGTTTGTCACCTGGATGTCTCCATTCACAATCACTGGAAACACTCAGGGGTCTAAATCTGACTGAAAATTTTACTTCTTCAATCAATTATTTGTAGTTACTTATGATAGTACACACCAAACTAAGGGCATGTTGTGATTTTTGCTCTTATTTTGCTCTGGAATTGAAATACTGTTTCATGAGCAACTGCTTGCTAAAATAATAAAAATATGACAATCTGCCTTCTGTAGGAGGAACCATCAGCATTTGGTAGTTGGCCTCTCACATTTCAAGTGTTCCTCAGTTTTCCCAACAGCTGGGATGACTTTATTGGAAAAAACAAGTAAAAGCAATGGAAAAAGGAAACTGTACTAATATCTGGCACAGCGCGTAGCAAATTGTTTGTACAGATCCAGAAGGAACAACCTTACATATCTGTTTTCCGGTCACGTCCTCGCCAAACTTCCATTCACCAGCATAACCTAGAATTATTCAGAGCTGCATGAGGCACATTCTGTTTTCTCAGAAGTTTGTTACATTAACAACGATGTTTGATGAAGCCACAGGCACAATGCAGAGGCAGCTGCAGAGCCAGAGTAGGTTCTGCACAGCTTGAGGATAACTAAGGAAAGGATGAGGTTGGCAGCTGCTTTGAGTAACAGGCTGCTTGTCACCACCACCCATGGGGCAGTCAGACTCTGGGAGCTGCAGGCAGAAGAGCATGTCTGAACACTCCCACCCTGGTTCTGACGATCTTTGTTGGCACAAGCTAAGCTGAGCCTCCAGACTTTGCACTGAAGCAAGTGCTGTACATTTGCTTTTATGTCCTGTGCCTGCCAAGGCTACAAAATCCAGAGCCCTGGGAGAAGCGTGTCCCCGAGGCTGGCTTAGGCTCCAAACAGCTTTTGCACTGACAAGTATCACACATTTTTTTCTACTGTGGTATGTTAGCTGCAGGGGGAAATTAGCCAAGAGGAGCCGGGAAGGGCTGCCAAGACTGTTAACTTCATGTTGGATCAAGAGAGCTTCTAATTTATCATCAGGCAGATGCAGCAGGCACCACCCTGCAGGTGTTCTCCTGGCTCTGTCTGTCACACACCACCACCAGCAGTTTAAGCAAAGTAGAAGGAATTCCTCTCCCCTTTCTCCCCACTGTTTTATACTGGGGCTTGTTACAGGGTGAGAGGGCTGCGAGTGCAGTTAGTGGATAAAGGAAAGCAGAGAGTAAAAACCAGGCTTTGAAGGACTTCAGGAAAATGGCCAGCATGCAGTGTGTCTGACCAGGACTTCAAAAGTGTGCCAGAATCTGCAGGTTTTCCCTTTTAATTCTTTCCTGACAGGAAAAGAATTGCTCTATCTTGAGTACCTTTTAGTGGTTTCTTTATTATTCCTCATTAGATGACATGCATCAAACTACCTTAAATTTGCACACGAGTGTCTCTAAGTCGACAGAGCATGCACCTGCTGAGGAGCAGATGCACTTTAGGGTGTGCTCAGAGGTATTAACTGACGTTCCCCTTGCTGGCTTTGGGTTCTGCAGGAAGTTGTTGCCCACTGGATTGCCGAATGCCGCCTCAGCATAGAACAGGCTCGTCTGCTCACACTGAAAACAGCCAGGAAGATTGACATGTTGGGCAACAGAAAAGCAAGAAAGGAGGTGAATTTCTTTTTTTTTTTTTGCAGCTAGTACATGGGGAATGCAAAATCTGTGTGTTCAACTGGTTGAAAGACAAACTAAAACATATTGGTAAACATTATTATTCTAATTGTAGAGTGTGATTTCATGTTGAAAACAGAGAGGCTTAAGACATGCTTTTAATTGTCAGAGGATTGGGAAGTGATCTCAGAAACTTCAAGATGAATCTGTTCAAGCATTGCTTGCTTGTTTCAACATAGTAGGATAGTTTTGGGTGACTGGAAACAGTTTTACCATACCCAGGGAATAGGAACAGCAGAGCCCTCATCCAACCCTGAGAGGAAGGAATGTACTGTGAGATACTAATCTTCAGTAGAGCTCTTAAGTAAATATTCTCACTTGCTTATGAAAGTACTACTGATATTGTGAGTTCTCTTCTAACTACAGGTAGCCATGACCAAAGTGGTTGTTCCACGAGCTGTGCTTAAAGTGATTGACTGTGCAGTGCAAGTGTGCGGTGGAGGTGGAGTTTCTCAGGATTTTCCTTTGGCTTTTATGTGAGTAAAGGGAGACTTACCTGTAGATTCTAAGTATTCCTTCTAAGATAATTTTATAACAACAGTACATGCTGTTTCACCTCAGGTAGCTTGAAATAATAGTCCATATGCCTTTAAGCTATAAAACTTAAACCAATTGTTTTTAGAGTTTCATTTTAGTGCAATTACCCTTACCAGAAAACACCAGAACCTGGCACTTGACCTAGAATATCAGCAGCAAAGAGGATCTGCGTCTAAAGCTTAATCTTATCCCTTATGGCCTTGGGGAGAAGCAAAACTTCTGAATTCCCAGCCCACCCATCTCAATCCTGCCAGGAAGATTTTGTTGCAGTATCTCCTGTGTGATAGCGCTTTCCTGAGAAACCAGTGTCAGAAGGGTTCTGTAGTAAAACCAGTGCTGAAAGCTCCCACTGTCAGACCCTCTGGCTGCTGTGGCAGGGTCAGAAACCTGCCCCTAATTCAGCTCTCCCAACACAGGTTTGCTTATATCCGGACCTTGCGCCTGGCAGATGGGCCTGATGAAGTTCATCTCTCAACAATTGCAAGGTGGGAACTGCTTGACCAGTCAAAGAAGCTCACTGCAAAAATCTAACGGCGCATAGAGCCTTCTCAAATGGAATGGAAAATTTAGGAAAGGGTTTTTTTCCAGTTGTTTAAGGTAAAATTGAATGAATACAAAAACTTGAAGCAATTCTTCTCTCACTCTTTACTTATAATCATTACACTTTAGAATCATGGGCTTGGTTTTAAGAATTAGCAGAATGGTATCTAAATAACAACTTATGTGGGTTCTTTGTAACACTAAATAAAATCTGTTTTCTAATAGGCCTAAACTGCTTTCTTTGTTCTGAGCCAAAGCCTTTATCCTTTCATTGTAGGCAAAGCAGTTCTGAGTCAGAAGTCCCACACTATTTAGTTTATTGCAAGCTAGGCTGAACTTTTAGGTTTTGATTAAATGACAAACATTGAAGGTAATCCCTTTCTTTCCTTTTTCCAAAGTTCAGCTGTACTCCAACCCTCTCTCTTCCCCAGTTCCTGCTCTCAGCTGCCCTCCTAGTCCTAAGGCTACATGCAGTCCTTCCTCCAGCTCCCCCTCAAGTGAAGCTCAGGGCAGCACAGGAGACTGGGGTCAGCGTGTAGCTAGGTCAGTTTGTCTGCTGCTCCTTTGCTGCGTTTCTCCAAATGGATCTCCTCACATTTTTTCTTATTGGTGTTCCTTTTGTCTTGCCTTGCCTCTTTACTTCTGTCTCCTTTTGTGCACCCTCACAAGCCTCCTCCTGTCTCCTGGTCCAAGCTACTCCCACCCTTAAATATGTCTAAGCACAGGTGGCACCTTCCCCCTCCAAGGAGCTGAAGTTTTGGCTGGCACCAGCAGTGACGGACATGGGGCAGTTTATGGCCTCCTCTGCTACCGAAACAGGCTCTGCCATTTATGCCCAATACACCTTTATGAAGTTCTCAAAGGTCAGAGTTCCTCAGCTCTGCTCCTGTAATAATCCTCTTTGACATTAGTTACTTACAAGAGAACTTGCCCCTGCAGGAACAGAACCAGGTAGATCCCGGCATATTGTGCTGTTGGTAGCCCTACTTCCTGTAAAGTTAGGATAATCACTTTTCAGCTTATACAGGACTGATCGACATATAACTTAAGGGTACAAGTGTTTACTGTTTGTGCGAACAAACAAGCCCCCCTTCCAAGTTCCTCCCTGCTGGAGCTTGGAGAGAACACACTCTGCTTGGCTCAGTCTTCGGGGTGAGGCTGCGGCCAGTTCTGTCCTTGAGCCCACAGCCTGAAGGGTGTCCAGCTATAGCTGCTGTAGTAAGCCAGGGTGGTACACATACAGAGTACCTGGAGCTGGAGGCATTCCACAAAGTTTCTTACCTTATATTGATTCATTGTACTTAAAAACAAGATTATAATCTCTTTTGGGAAAACAGTAATTCTTGTTTACATTTCCATCCACCTTACTTTCCTCTTGCTTCCTGCCAAGAATGTTTCCTAGGAAGCTGAGAGTGTTACTAAGTCAGTGGCTGAAATGCACTTCAAATACAAAATCACCTGCACTGTATGTGGTTCAGGAGTTGTGCTCCAGGCTGTCAAAACCTGCACAATGTGTTTTTTCAATGAAGAATGCCCAGGGACCATATTTAGCCATGTTCCAATTAGGATCTCTGACCACTCTCATTTCCTACACCTTCAAAGAACAGCTACACAAGAACAACACCTTTATCTCATTAACAAGGCTCTTAATTCCCTTTATTTTAAAATTTTATGTACATATGAATGATCTGTATAATGTACACTCAATATAGAAAGTTTTTATATACTGGATAATGTATAGAACATTTCACAATTACACTAATTTCTTACATAACATGTCAACTTTAAGGTTTTTTTGCTGAAGCTTTGTCAATTTGGTCAAGCCAGTTATACATACGAATGTCTAATGCTGTTTGATCTGAGGAAGAAGATAATAATGTTAATGATTAAGGACATGAGTGAACTGGTGCAGAGACAAAACCCTTTGCAGGTCATGTTCAACGGGAGTGATCACATCAGACTGAGAAAAGAAGGGATGCCCATTTAGTGGGGGTCGGTGAGGTCAAAGTTATTTTAGCCCAATTCCTCTAGACTGTAGCTCAACTCCAGTCATGCTAATTCATAAAATATAAAAACTAGGAAAGTTTGATTCACAGTCTTGTAAACAAATATAAAGGAACAAAATGTGCTTATGTACAACAAGAAAAAAATTCTTGTGTACCCATTTCAGCTGATCCACAGAGTGCTTTCTTGTGTTACAGTGTGGTAGTTAGAATCACTGACTTTTTCCTAGAAAAAAAAAGTCATAGAAAAAAGGAATAACACTGTCATAAACACCCAGAAAGGCAGTAAGTTCACTTCAATGTACTGGAGGAAAGTGCAGTTCCTCATCACTGGCCAGTCTGCCTTTGTCTCTTTCACAAGGATTTCCAGTCCTTAACTGACATCTCCCACGTCGTTGTCTACTGGGGGTGGTACGTTGGGCATTACAGATGACGTTGTCCCTGCAGTAAGGTAACCAGCAACTCCAGGGCCTTTCGGGAAGGAAACAAATACTGGCGATTAGTTTTCATTCTACAGGCTGATTGAACAGCTTTATTCCCTCTGGTAACAGATCATCTAAGTCAACCAGACACCTTACACAAGAACATTTAGGAGTTTTTGTTAAGATTCTTTGAAATCTAGGAACACTAGGAACTAAGGCTTATTAGTCCACTAAGTGGAGTAGCTTGTGGAGGCCATTCTTGGACTTGCTCAGTGTTTTTTGTTCTGATGTGCCAAATAAGTTACAAAAGAACCCCAACCACCAGCATTACCCATCTCACCTTCTGCCACGGAAGCAGCAGTAAAGAGGGGGTGGCCTTCCTTTGCTAAGGAAAGGCCCTGCCACAGAAGTGAAATAAGTTTAGGCATGCGTTCCACTACTGGGCTCCTCATGTATGCTTTCAGGGTTGTAAAGGTTTTTTCCAGCTGCATATTCCAAGGAAGCTCAATGGGCTGCCCAATGAAGGAGCAGAACTGCCTAAAGCTTGCCTAGGCAGCATTTTGTGCCTTCAGTTAGGAAAAGGTAACAGCATTCTTAGAATACACAAACTATGTACTGGAGATGCAGAGCTCCTTAAAACTAGTAAATCTCCAATTTGATTACTACAGGGCAGTTAGTTTTGCACTGCAGGCAAAGCCCCTCTCCCTAAAAGCTTGGAATTAAAAATTTAGTCATATAGAAACTTTCAACAAATGCAATAAAACTCACATTGCAGCAAGAGGTGTTTCAATAGTAACTAATGACTGTAGAATACTCCCCATCCACAGCATGTTCCTGCACCGATACAGTGATCAACTTGGTATTAGACCTCCAGCCTACACTGCCAACATTCAACATGGTGAATTCTGCTGGGTCCTGTACTCCCCCCACTTAAATCACCCTCACTGAGTTCTCCCAAATTTACTATCCCTTCCTGCCCCACCCTCCTCCTCAACTACACCCCAGAGCCAGAACATCAGAGCATGGTTTGTCTCCTTGTGAACAGTCCTACACTACTACTGTGAGGAAGAGAGCAAAGCAAGCAGTGCCTTTGGTATTTAAAAGCGCTCTGCCTTCAGGATGGGACCTCTCTTTGCCAGCTCACCGGTGGCACCTGCCAAAAGCCACACCCACTGTTACTAGTGCAAAAATTCCCCGTAGTTATCTTGTGCCTCGAACTTTTCCATTATGGAGGATTCCTAACATAGTTCAGAAGTTCAGTTCCTGTGTAGTACCAGCAAGTACCAGCCACTGCAGTTATCAGTGTTGTGCTCAAAGAAGGCAAGTTTATCGGTGTTTGGCACTTTGGGACCACACATTTGTCACAGCTCTATGACATGCATCTGTTGCTTGGAATGCAGCAAGTGCAGTGTGCGTTCTATGAGATGGTATCTACCTGCTTTAGAGAGCTACACAGAAGTTAGCAAGCTGCCTGAAAGAGCAGATCTAAAGCCCACTTCTCAGGTGAAGGGGACTGCTGCCAGTTAGAAGGGAAGGAGAAGAGACACCTGAGGGAAGAGAAACAAGCAAGGGAAGTTTCAAGGGAAGTGCAAATAGCAAAGCAATTTGAAGCAAGACATAAGGCAGAATACAAGATAAGAGAGGTTAAAAATAAAGCTTTTAGTTTGATTTCCATCTACACTTTGCATTTGTACAGCATCTTCATTCTACATTGGCAAGCACTTAAACATCAGGCAATTTAAAAGCAGCACAGGCTTTAAGGCAATTGGAAAGCTATATTGTCCCCAGTCTCAAGCCTGACCACATCTGGTATAGTGGCAATTCTTGGCCAGTAATCACCCAGCATTTTCTTCATATTTCTATATTTATGGTATTTATGAAATACCAAGGAAATTCAGTACCAACTGAATCGGGTGTTCAGGTATTCTTTGTCAAAGTGGCATTAAATGGTACAATAAACAGAAAACTCCTGTTCAGAGCTAAAGCACAGAGTCTTTCCTGTGTGGAAAAATGCATCAAGTGTTGTAATATACCTACTCTCAAACTCTAAGCATCTGCTACTAGACCATGTAATTCTGGACCTGAAAGGCTCTTGCTTCATTTTCTTAAAATACATGTTAGTATCTTGCAAGAAAAACTTTGGTCATCTGATTTATACCTCACTAGTTCAGTTATGCTCAAAAGTTTTACCAAGACTCCTATAGTGGGTTAGGTGAGAAAGTTCCATGCAGCACATGGATGTGCTCACACTGGTTTGTCACAAAGGGCCTTAAAACATCACCTGGGAGGCAAAGCTCTTAAAACCAAATGATTGTTCAGCTGATGGCTACTGAGGAGTCAGAAGTTTGCATCATGTGTTGCTTTAGATAAAGTTTGCTACAATGTCATTACTTGCTATATCTGAAAATATGAGATAGGAAGTTTTGGACTGTGATACTGTGTCTATCAAGTGCTGCACTGGAGTGAAGGAAGAACCTGCTGTGATGTAACTGTTCTAGGATTGTGTCTGCACCATGCCATTAACAGCAACAAGGTTCTCATCAGTTGCTATCTTTTGTGTGTGCAGCACACATAGCTAAAATGCTCTTCTACACTGCCAGTGGGACTGAGGTGGCACCTCTGGGGTGCCATTTTGATCTTGGTGGCACCAGCTGGGGACTCACCCAGGGTGCACCACTGCTGCAGTCAAGTGTATGCCACCAGCTCCACATACACAGGCACCAGGTCATCTTGCCAGTGCACTGAGTCTGCCTGGAATGCAGCCTCAAACTCCAAGCTATTAACATTCCAACTTTTCCAATACCACT